CAGCTCCAGTCCCTTTCACTTTGCACCTTTGTACCTCCTCACAATACTCTTGGCATCTTACAGATAAGGAAACTGAGACCCAGAGAAAAGAAATGGCTTGTCCAAGGCAAAGTACATACTGGTGCTAAGAGTGAATCCTGGAACTCATGCGCATAACCAGGAACATCTCCACCTACATGTCTCTAAGAGGATTGAGACAGGAAGGCTTTAGCCCCTAACTAACCACACAGCATCCTCTGTTCCTCACCTCACCCTGGCAGCTGGCCTCAAAATTTTGCTCCAGGAACCAGTCCTAGTTGGGCTCCCACAGATGCTAGCTAGTGCCTGGCAGCTCTGTTCAGGATGAAGACACCAAACTTGAAGATCAGCAAGCTGGAAACCCCTTAGGGATGAGCCATCAGGGCCCCTCCTATTTGGAGGAAGTGGAGGCCCAGGTGAGTGCCACCCTGGGGTAAAATAGGTGCAGTGGCATTGAATATATTTGGATCTGTCTGAGCTAGGGCTTTCTTTTTGCAAATGGTCAAGAAATGACTGCATTAGCCTAGGGATTATACCCAGCCACCGGGTGGCTGACACGCCTTGTCACAAATCACTGGTTTCCCACAAACAAGCAGTGAGATTCCTACCATTGCACAGGCTTCTGACGGGAATCTCTGCACTGTTATTTATATAAATGAATGTGCTGATGAACCCCAGCCTCTTAAAAGGTGCCGTCTTGCTGGTGAGCAGGCCCCAGAGAGAGCTGAGTAGGGACCAGAACCCTGAGCTGGCATTGCAGCAACTAATGGTGGCTGCACTTCCTCCCACAACTGCTGTTCCATTGGCAACTGGAGAGGTAAAGGGAAGGGGGCTTCTTCTTGCCAGAAGAGAATGCTGTGGTTGGTAGAAAACAAGGTTCTCCTCTGAGCCCTTGGGGGAAAGTTGGCCCCACTCTAGGCCTTGGTCTGTGTGAAATGGGAAGCCTTCCTCCTAGCTGTGGGGTCATGGCTTACAGGGCCAGTTCCTTTGATTCTGGGTCTAAGGAGAACATGTTTGCCTCCAGTTGGTTGGAGAAATCACTGTAGGTCAAGGGCAAATGCAGTAGTTGCCTCCAGCTTTGTCCTGGCACTCAGTGGCCCCAGCCAGGCTATATAGATGGCACTCAGCCCCGTGATGCCACCTTCAGGCCCCTCAGCAGTAACTCTGACCCATAACACCAAGTAAGCCAAAGTAGAGAACAGGTGGGAGGGAGGGGCTCAAAAGGATGTGGGGCCACAGCTGGCACCCAGGCCAGGGGGAGGTGGGAGGTATCAGGAAAGTCCCCGAAAGCCAAACTGGGGCTGGGGCCTTACAGTGGAGGGCACAGCCAGACATGTGTTGTAAGCAGATGGGTGGAGGCTTCTGGGAAGAAGGGCCCCTGAGCAAGGCCCTGCCAGGTAAGCAAAATATGAAAGGTGGGAAGTACTGCAGGGGCAAAGGCCAGACACAAGGCACACCAGTGCTTCATGCCCCCCCCACCCCGCCATTCTTAGGCTCATGCACATCTCACACAGTTTCCAGAGTTACAGCCCAAAATAGTACGGTTCCTGCTTCAATGGTTGTGATTTAAGATATCAGGGTGCCATTCCACCCACCTGTCTGCACATGAGGCTGTGGGAGTTCAGGTGCCACTGTGACACCAGCTCTGAAGCCAAAAGGAATAAGGGGCAGGCAGGACACTAGGTCAGGCACAGGACAGGGCTTCTGCCACCACCTCTATTATTGGTCTATTGGAATCAAACATGAGACTCTTCCCTGGATAAGGATCCTCTTGTTAACTTGAGAAGGGCAAGATCCCTGACTGTGACTCCCCGTGGTTCCTCAGCCTCCCTCAACCTGCTCCCCACTTTTGAGAGACAAGACCTCCGGTGCAGGAACAAATCAGAATGAGACACAACTCTTGCCCCACTAGTTCCTCAGACATTTTGAAAGGGTTCATGCCAGTGCCATGCTAACCACACCAGACCTTTTGACCAGCATTCCCAATTTAAAGATCACAGGGAGGACTCACATCTACCTCTCAGCAATATGGTGCCGTAGGCAGGGAGGACTCGGCCAGCAGCATGGCTGTGGGACGGATGGAATTGGTTAGTGCATGGGCTGTCCCTACCCTGAAGCTCCATGTCTCTGTTAACCCACAAGCCAGGTTCATGGTTGGTACCTGCCACAGGCTCTTCTGACTCCTGCCAGGCAGGGCTCAGGAAATAAGACTGGAGAGGGGGAACAAATGTTTACACAAATACAGGTTTGTTGATATTCTTGGAGGCCTTGTCATCTCCCAAGAGCCCAATAAATGATGATTGTGGTTCGCCATGGTTTGTCCCAAGAAATAGAAAAGAAACCAGGATCCTGAGCCCCAAACTACCACAAAGCAAGGAGAACCTGGGGTATGAGAATGGGCCTGCAATGAGGGAGAGTCCTGAGCTCCCAACATGCCTTTCTGTGTCCTTACCAGGGCTGCCACAGCAGTTGAGAACCTGGTGATCACACATGCAAAGCACCATCCAGTCAAGGACTGTCCCTCCTCTGTTCTCTGCTCCCTTCTAGTTTCTATGCCTGTGTTTCTGTGATCTCTGGGTCAAACTGAAGCTTAGAATTGTTCAGGATCCCCAAAGTCTCTTGAGAGATGTCAGCAAAAAAGCATTTCCGTCTGCTTGGGTAGAAAGGACTCATGGTGCCTCAGGACTCAAGTGCACAGAGCACAGGAAGAGTGGCTGAGAAGGCATCAGGATGGGAGCTGAGCTCTTCCCCCATACACGTGCCCTACAGAGCATGGAGCTCTCCCTGAGTGGTGACCAGCACTTGTGCATTGCTGCAGCATGTTGAGGTGACCCTCCTGCCCCTCCTTTTACCATATTTCACTTCCTGTCCAACAGCTGCTGGGCTGAGCTGGTACAAGAACTATGCCAGCTGTGACCCAGCAGGAATGAGGGTGCCAGACCCAGGTCCTGACCCCCCCACACTCTGCTTGCCCATCCACCCTTGAACTCTGGCCCATGCCCTGCTGATGACCATCCCTCTCAAAGGCTGGGAGAGAGCCCACTCCTTGACTCAGCCTGCTATCCCTGCCATGCCTGTTTCTGCAGCCCTAGGGCTTCCAACTCTGGGGCCCTATCACCTGGCATGAGAGATGTGGGCTTTTCAGTGGCCTGTGGGCCAAGACATCCTCAGCAAGTGTCTGTTTAATGAACTGATGAATATGTGCTAATGGCCATATCTGATACAGAATTTGGGGTCAGAATCATAGCTTCAATTACAGCATCATTCCTGTGAGAAGTGACAGCTCCCTTCCCACAGTCATCTTTACAATGTGGCTTCCAGGAATCCATTAGAGCTAATTACTCTCTCAGCAAAATGTGACATTCCTAGACCACCACCAGTTTCTCCTGTGGGAACATCCCATCCAGATTCAACGGTGGAGGCACTGACATCTCCGGGCACTGCTGGGGCTGGGGTCCTGCCTCTTGTTTCTGCAGAAAGATTAATTCTTCCCCTGCCCACACCTGAGACTACTCACTTTTCAGTGTTTCTATTATTCTAAGTTCATTGTAAAGAAGGAGACAGATAAGATTTTTAAAACAAGGTCTCTTAGGTGGATGCAGAAGCCCAGGCTAATAACACTTGCTTCCCAACACCTGCCTCCTCAGCAGACACTGCCAAATCCTGTGCCTTAGAGAACAGGGGCTCTGGCGAGCAGGGTTTCTGTGTGACATCTTCCCAGGTACCCCAACTCTAGGGCAACCTCCCTTGCATCCACCCTATAGGACCAGCAAGCTCAGTACTCCTGGCCAAGGAATGTGAAACACATTTCCTGCCTTTCCAAGCCTTGGTTTCTTCGTCTGTAAAATGGGATTAGGAAGCTGCAAGGGTTGAAAAAGCAGAACCTTGTGTCCAGCTGCAGTTGCCATGGTCATGTCATTGGTGTTACTGATGCCTTGTGTCCTCACTGTCAACAGTAGCTACAGTTATCATGGTCATACCACAATTGGTGATATAATCTAGTCAGAAAAATCCTTAAATCCTAATCCTCTGATGTTGACTATCCCCAGACTTCTGGACACTTGGCTAGTTCAGTTTATCTTGAGGGGCAACTTTAACCAACAGCAATTCCAAGTAGTAGTTCCAGTAGTTATTCCTTTTAGAAGCAAGAATTGTTTTATGTGGAAATGGTGGGTTTGGAATCAGACCAAAGCATCATGTACCTTAAATCTGAGAGTTACCAAACACAGTGAAGGTCCTCAGAGGAGAGGTAAAGAATGGGTGGGGTGCTGGGGACCACACTCTTATTTGGTCATTGCTTTCCCCTGGGATGCCATCCTCCTGCTGTCTGTATGTGCCAAGACTGCTTGCTCAGTCCAGCCCAGTGGGGCCAGATATCTGCAGCAGTGCATGTGAGCACCTGAGGTCAGGGAGGACAGGGAGAGGAGCCTGCTGCAGGGCTGACGTTTCGTTCCCAACTAAAGAAACTGGATTCTTTGGTTACAGAAGTGCACACTGCCCCCTCACAGGTACCACGTGGCAGGATTGAGGTTTCAAAGGACTGCATTAAACCCAGACTTAACGCTGAGGGAGATGTGATTTGACAGCAGCTCCATGGAAGACTTGAGCTTTCCTGTGTGGGTGTAGGGCAGGCTAGCGACCAGCATTGGAAATGTCATGGGATCCTCAGGGTGAAGTCCACAAGTGGGAGGAGGCTGTTCTGGGCACTGCTACAATCCTGGAGCTACATGTTGAGGTCACTGGATACTAGTGTCCAGAGCAGGGGCCCAAAGGGGCAGGAGAGCCCTTCCCAAGCATGTGCCAGGTTCAGGGTAACGTAGATAATATCAACTGTTTCTAAGGGAAGAAGGTAAAGACAGACTTGATCTGATAGAGGAAGGATTCCTCAGCAGAAAGGGGTCCAGCCAATGGAACAGGGCTACATATCTAGGGTATCTGCTTGCTGCATGCCCTAACACCAGCATTTTCCTCCCTCCATCCAGAGTCGAATGGCAGAGAGCCTGCGCCTTTTTGACTCTATCTGCAACAACAACTGGTTCATCAACACCTCACTCATCCTCTTCCTGAACAAGAAGGACCTGCTGGCAGAGAAGATCCGGCGCATCCCGCTCACCGTCTGCTTCTCTGAGTACAAGGGCCAGAACACATACGAGGAGGCTGCTGTCTACATCCAGCGGCAGTTTGAGGACCTGAATCGCAACAAGGAGACCAAGGAAATTTACTCCCACTTCACCTGCGCCACCGACACCAGTAATATCCAGTTTGTCTTTGATGCAGTGACAGACGTCATTATACAGAACAATCTCAAGTACATTGGCCTTTGCTGAGGAGTTGGGCCCAGCCCACTTGCCTGTGGCGAAACCTATGGGGTATCACACCCCACCTCGTGCTAGAGAGGCCTGACCTGGGGGCAAAAAATGGGGGACCTGAAGGGTATCCCCCGGCCCTTGGCCTCCACCTCCTAGGCCCCACATTTCTGCAAACATAAATATATATGGATAGATTGCTAGGTAGGTAGACACACACACACACACACAAACACAAGCACGCAAACACATCTGGAGATGGCAAAGTCCTCCAAAGTATTGTCCAGGTCTCTTGATACTGGAGGCAATGCTGTCACAAGTTCACTTCAAGGCCACCCTGCCTCTTCACTCTGCCTTCCAAGTTGGCTCCACTCTGCATGGGGGTCCACAACGGATTGCTGCGGAGAGGCAGCAGGGCTAGGGCCAAGTCAGGCCGGCTGTGCCCCTGTCACCTGGAGGAAGGCCAACTTACCACCCAAGCTCTGCACTGGGGGCGTTGCCACTGACTAGGAGTGAGAGCCAGAGCAGGGACCATGCACCTTCCCTGCTGGCCGCACCCTACACGCAGTCGCACTGTACCACGTTTGCCCTGGACCTGGACCTGAGGAGCCAGGTGACGGCACTAACCAGACCTCTAGCCACTCAGCTCTTTATAAACAGCTTCAAAATATGCAGCAAAAATCACAATAAAATGAGTGGCACGATATATTTCAAACTAGGCCAGCTGGGTTTCCAGCTTTTCTTCTACTGGCCTGATATTTTATAAATTCAAACTTTGTTTTTCTTCTCTAATATCTTTTTTTTTTTTTGCCAAATCTTGTGGTGTTTCGCAGGAAAAAAATACAGAAAATTTCAAATGCAGTTGAGTATTCTTTTTTAAATGCAGATTTTTCAAAACTTATTTTTTTTCAGGTGGTCTTTTTCGTGTCTGGCTTGCTGAGTGTAAAAGTTGTTATCTGGACGATTCTGTCCCTCTGCTCCAAAGAATTCTGGGGCAAATGGCAGTCCTGCGGCAGCCTCGCAGGACACATGTTGTACATAAGCCTCTGCAGTGTCCTGTTATTGGTGCGGTTTTCTGCTTTGTTTTTATTTGAGAAAAATAAATGTGATGTATTAAAGAAGGTTCTTCACCTAGGAGCGAATGAACAATAGCTAAATGTCTTGGTATTTAAAGCGTAAATTATCTGTGGCTTTGCTGAGTAACAGAAGGGGAGGTGAGAGATGGCACCCCCCACCCCCACCCCACCCCAGGTCCCTGCACACCCAAGCCTGAGATGGGCTGGGAGCTGCTATGACTCCTGTGAAGGCACAGCCAGTGTTGTGGCCTGAGGGAGGCCCTGCTGGGACCCTGCACTCTGGGCCTTCTTGTCCTTGAAAGGACCTTGGCTGAGGGCTGTGTGTAAATATGAACCCCTGCTGCTGAGATGGGAGGCACTGCCAGAGCCCTTGCCAAATCTCCTTCTCTCTAACCCTTGTTCGGTACCCAGGAGTCCAAGGTCAATGTGCAGAATCACAGCCAAGGACTTGAAGACCTATACAGAGGGAAGGAGGAGCTGGTGACCATATGAAAGTCAAAGATTGTCTACTTTAAGAAAATAAAATACCCCGAATGGAGCCAAGCTTTGTTCCAGTGTGCTGTGTGTGTGGCTCACTCGTGGCTGAACGTGGTGTCATCTAGGAAGTGCTGGGACACCTTCCACCCCAAAGCACTAGAGGCCTCTAGGGGTGGTGGGAAACCACTGGTGAGATGTCAAGAAGGTAAGTCCACCAAGTGCCTGCTTCAGGTGGGACACAGAGCCAGGCTTCTTACAAATTATTTCATTAAAAACATTCCACCTCAGCAGGTAGCCAGTGGTGACCCATTTTACAAATGAGAAAAATGTATCCAAGGTCAGAAAGCCACAGAGATCTGCTCCCTGGGAGGAGCAAAGGAGTGCTGATGCTTTCCCGAGCCCTGAACCCTGCCCTGTCCTGCATCCAATGGGGCAGGAGTCTACAGGGAGCAGCACAGAGGCAACCTGCAGCCTCTTCCTCAAAGAAGGACCTCATGCAAAGCTGTGAGGATGGGGCAGCAGACACGCATGCGTGCATGTACAGATACACATGGACCTGGCTCTGTGGCTGCCCCACCCCCACTGGAATCCACATGGGGATTTCCTCACACCTTCCCACATCACTAAACAGCAAGAACCTAACGGGGCTTTTGTTTAAAAAGAAATAATATGTGACTTAAAATTGAGACTCATTTTGCGCTTTCAATGCCAACTGTGAAAAAGAGCAGTAATTTCACCCTTGAGCATCCTTAACCTAAAAATATACAGCTAAAGGGAAAATAGAAGGGTTCTGCCTCCTTCCTGGAGGTGTATTAAGGACCAGAGGAGGACTTCCCCAGAAAAGAGAGCTTCCTCCTGGTCCCCAGCGCCTGTCAGTGTGCAATTTACCACGATTCCCACAAGCTGCAGAGGAACCCAGACCCCAGACCTCCCTGCTGGGCTCCCTGGCTCTGTCCATTGCAGTGCATCTGCCCTGGTTCTTCCCTTTGTGGCCCCTGTTTGCTCCCACTGATCTTTCTGCCCTACATGCCCTTTCCCGCCTCATAGTCCATGATGTGCCTTTCCCTCAGGATCCAGCACAAAGCCACCTCAGCCTTGTTCGAAGTCCCCTCCCTCCCCACATTCCACTGACCAAAGCACCCACTCTAGGTCAGGGTAGAGAAAGGCAAACTCCATTGAGTAGTTCAAGGGCAGGGCACTGCTGGACCCATCTTCCTTAGGGGAGCTGCTAAGGGCAAACATCCCCAGAGAGGCTTGGCCACGGGGAAATAGGTGCCACAACCTGCAGAAGTAACTGCTGAGAAGCTGACCAGACTGGCTGAAGGGGAGCAGCTGGAGTCAACCAGGCTGACCTACCCTCTTCAGGAGACTGTCCCTAGCCAATCCTACTACATGTAACCCCAGCCCCCTCTCCCAGGGCACACCACCATGTGGCTCCCCATCGGGAATTACCATCTTCCCCTGTAGCCTTTGTGGTCCCCAACATGGGACAGTGGGGCAATAACACTGGTGACAGTAATCCTATCTCCCCACAGTGACTGCTCACTGTGCACCGCACTCCTGGGAAGCCAAGATTCTAGATTCCACATTACAGAAGAGGGAGCAGAGATCCTGAGAGGGGACAAACATCTCACTATCAAATGGTGTGTGACAAGTGACAGGCTGGGGCTAACACCGGAGGGATTGTGCTCAATCTGTCCACACTCCCCAGAACCACAGGGCAAACATGCCAGATCCTGGACAGTGCCTACTGTCCAGAACAAATGGGCATGGGGATGTGGATCTAGCTGACATGGCATAAGTGCCAGGGACTGTGCTGTGAGGACACAGGACATGCCAAGCCTGGATGGCATGCTGAGGGAATCATCTCCTGGAGACAAGCCTTGACAGGGGGCTTCAATAATGAGACAGGTCCCAGACCAGTGCAGACCAATCCTTGGGAGGACTATGCTAATTCCATTTGTCACAAGCTGTCTCAAACTGCTTTGAGAGTATTATGAAAACCTTGTGGGAAAGTCTGATGAAGGCTACCTGCCCCAATGGAGATCTTGAAGATAGATTCTGGAATACGGGACAGGTTTAACATAGCCATACAAGGAAAGGCTCTCTCCTGCTGGAGGGGGTGTATGAAGGGGGAAGAGCTCAGGGAGGAGGAGCGGAGCAGACACAGCAGGCCAAGAAGCAAGCAAGCAGACTTCCTGTTTATGTGTATCATCCTCACTATGTCTGGGGATGGTGGCAACTGCCCACCAACTATCAGCCTGAGGATGTGCCTGGGACCCTGGTGCACCCACCCTGAGGGCAGGCCAGGGAGACAGGCCCTACCCCTCCAGGAGAAGCTTCACCTCCCTCTGTCCTGTGGTGTCAGAGCCAGGGGGAGCAGGGGCTGCTCTGGGCCACCTCCCAGGTAGCTGGGCATCAGGCACAGCTACCCAGGGAGGACAGGGGTTGCCTGCCTGGGGCTGAGTCACACTGCTAGTGGGGTAGTAAATCTGTTTTGCTTCTCCAGCAGCCCCTCTGCCTGGGAGAGCAGCCCACCTCCCTTGCTTGAGCTCCCTCTGAACACAGCCACCTCTAGATCCGTCTCTAGCTAAGACCATATAATTCCAGGGATGTCCCCTGTACCTCAAAATGACTGAGATTAAAACTGCATCTAAGCTTGGAGTGGTGGCACATGCCTGTAACCCCAGCTACTTAGGAGGTGGAGGCAGGAGGATCACAAGTTCAAGGCCAGTCCTGTCCCAAAATAAAATAAAAAGGGCTCATGATGTAGCTCAGTGGTGGATCATTTGCCTAGTATGTTCAAGAGTGTGAGTTCAATCCTTAGTACGGGGAACAGGGAGCTGCAGTCAGATGTTTCCCTCAGCTGCACCCTGCTCCGCCTAAGACCAGCCCTACTCACTACTGGAGCCAGGGACCCAGTTTCCACAGGTAAAGTCCTCCCCCCGCCCCAGCTGGTGCTCTCCTCTGGGTTAGGAGGGGTGCTCACTTCCACACCCAGAGCCTGATCTAAGCCAGAGCTGCATACACGACAAGGTCAGAACACAGCAGGTCCCACTACGCTGGTGCCAAAGCAGGGCCAGCATCTTAAAGCCTGAAACTAGGTGGTTGTGACAGGAGGAAGGGCAGGCCAGACTCACAGCTGTGCCCAGTGAGCACCTGTAGGGCTGGTAGTAAACACTTCGAGGAGAACCTGGCCGTTAAGATGCACTGTAAAATCTGCTCAGAGAAGAATCCTCAATCTCAGCTTCATAGCTCTCTCACTCAGAACACCTGGCCACAAAATGAGACCCGTTTTTTCATGGGGTTTGCAGAAACAGAGGTTGAATGAGAGAACAGTGGGTGGAAGCAGAAGAGAAATCCCAGCTGGTGACTCAGGGCCTGGTTGACCAGGAGCCTGGACTGACAACTTCTGTATTGCATTTGTGTCTATTATCTAGTTTCTCCTCTCCTTACCAGCACCACCTTGGGCATAAGAAGCTGGCCTAGGAAGAATGAGGGTCCTGTCAGGACAGTCCTCAGTCCTGGAGCGCCCCCTCCTGGTTTCTCTGGAAAATCATACAGCAAGTCTGACTTCACAGGGCACAAGGATTCAGAGTCGTTGGAAACCTCCCACAGAAACCTCATGTTACAGGGGAGGAAACCGAGGGACAACGACTGGAACAGAGCGAGGGCCCAACACATATTTGTTGAGTAAAGGAACAAGCAGGTAAGCGAACTGTAGCAAGAAAACAACAAATGATCCTTTAAAATATAACATAAAATCTGCTAAACAATGTATGTTGTGTCCTAGTCACGTGTCAGATGTTCTGCCATGCATGCCAAGAATGCCATGGTTTAAAAATGTAGGTGCTCAAAAACTCCACCAAAAGGCTTCTAGATTTAATAACCAAATTCAGTAATATTCAATGCTCAAAAATCAATACCATTCCTGTACACGAATAACAAATTCACTGAGAGAGAAATTAGGGAAACAACACCTTTCACAATAGCATCAAAAAAATGAAATACTTAAGGAATCAATCTAACAAAGAAAGTAAAAGATCTTTACATTGCATATTACAGTACTCTGAAAGAGGAGATTGAAGAAATCAGAAAATGGAACAATATCCCTTGCTCTTGGGTAGGAAGAACCAACATAGCGAAAATAGCCATATTCCCAGAATTGTTAGACAGATTTAATGCAGTCCCAATCAAAATAGCATTAGCATACCACACAAAACTAGAGAAAACATTCTTAAAATTCATTTAGAACCAGAAGAGACCTAGAATAGCAAAAACAATTCCAGAGGCTGGGGATTTAGCTCAGTGGCACTGTGCCTGCCTCATAAGTGCAAGGTCCTGAGTTCGATCCCTGGTTCAAAAAAAATTCTGGGCAACAAAGGCAAGGCAGATGGCATCACAAGCCCTGACTAGAAAATTATACTACAGTGCTACGTAATAAAAACAGCATGGTACTGTCAAAAGAACAGACCTGAGGATCAATGGAAAAGATTAGAAGATGTTGAAACAACTCCAAACATGCTCAGCCACCTTATCTGCGAAAAAGGGGCCAACCAAACACATTCACTGGAAGAAAGATAGCCTCTTTAATAAAT